TTTGACCCTGGAACTAAAAAGAAAAGGAAAACAGATAAAAAAAAAAATCAATGAAGGCAACAGGTGTTTAAAATTTTACCAAGTGTGGCCACAGAAAAGGTTCATATTGCTGATCACAAGTAAGAGCTGACCAATGTGACAACAAAATAGGAATGTCAGACTTCTTCTTCTCCTCTTCTTCTTCTCCTTCTTCTCTTTCTCCTTCTTCTCCTCGTCTTCCACCTCTTCTTGTTCTTCTTCTTTTTCTTTTTGTTAGTCATGGGGCTGGATCTCAGCCTGAACGTATCCCTCAGCTCTTCAGTTCAAGGCTAGTGCTCTACTACTTGAGCCACAGCACCACTTCTGATTTTCTGGTTGTTCATTGGAGTTAAGAGTTTCACAGCCTTTCTTGACCAGGCTGGCTTTGAACCACGATCCTCAGATTTTGACCTCCAAAGTAGCTAGGATTACAGTTGTGAGCCCCTGGTGCCCTGCTCAGACAAACTTCTGAAGAAAGTATTTTGTTGACAGATTTGATACCATAAAATAACAAGTTCCTAGATAAAACACCTGTCTCAAGTTCCTAGATAAAACATCTATCTCAAAAAGAATTAGAAAACTGAGTAAGTTATAAAAAAGGATTGCACTAATATTTGAAAAAGTAATGTTCAGATAACTTTTCAGGTAAAACTCTACCAGATGCTTAGAGAAGAATGAGCATTAATCTTTCATGAATTCTTCCAGAAAATAAGAGAAAGGATTGCTTTCCAGCTCCTTCTCTGGGGCCAATTTTACCCTCATTGCAGAAGCAGACAAAGACATCTCAAGGAGAGGAGACTATAATCAGCATTTTTATTGAATTTAGATACAAACTTCTTCAATAGAACATTTTCAAACCAAATTCAGCCATGTATCAAAATGATTTCATTATGACTAAGAGGGATTTATTTCAGGAATGGAAATTTGATTTAGCATCTGAAAAATCAATTAATACAATGCACTATATCAATAGAATAAAAGATAAAAATCTATGTGATTATCTCTTCATTGAGATAAAAGAAAATGAGAAAGAGGACAAATATCAAAACTTTCATGAGAGAATATGGGGGGATCACATAGTAAAAATCTTTTAGGAACAAAGAGGAAGTTTCTCAGCCATGTAAAACGCATCTGTAAAAACCCACAGCTAACATCTTACCTAACCATACAAAACTGAATGTTTCCCCCTAAGTAGTAACATAACATAGTCAGAAGTACCACAAAAATGCGAGTTCTTATCTTCCCTAGTCAACACTGTAGTAGATGCATACCCAAGGCAATTAAACAAGAAATTAAATGGAAGGAAATTTTTAGAAATATTAGAAATATTAGAAATAGTCAGATGCCTGTTGCTCATGCCTGTAATCCTAGATACACAGAAGGCTGAGATTTGAAAATTGAGTTACAAATCCCCTGGGGAAAAAAAGTCTGTGAAGTTCTTCTTTTTTTAGGGTGGGGGTTCCGGTCATGGGGCCTGAACTCTGGGCCTGGGTGCAGTCCCTCAGCTCTTCAGCTCAAGGCTAGTGCTCTACCACTTGAGCCACAGTGCCACTTTCGGCTTTTTTTCTTTTTGCTTATGTGGTGCTGAGGAATTGAACCAAGGGCCTCATTCATGCAAGGCAAGCACTGTACCACTGAGCCACCTTCCCAGCCCCTGAAGTTCTTATTTTGAAATAACCACTCCTGAGCCAGGAGTAAAGCTGTGACTTAAGTGATAGAATATCAGCCTTTAATGGAGAAAGCCAAGGGGGCAGTGAACAGGCCCCAAGTACAAGCCCCATTACTAGCACCCTGCCCCCCAACACACCCCAATACACATTAAGAATAATAAATATTTTAACATGGTTTCAGAATATAAGATACAAAAGTAAATGTATTTATCTGAAAGTAAAACTAAGAAAGCAATTATATTTTTGACAAAATTAAAATACTTAGTAGTCAATTTTATAATAATAATTCATAATCTAAAAACTACAAACCATTGTTGAAAAAAATTAAAGACCTAAATAGATGAAAAGACATCATATGTTTATAGATTAGAAGACAATGCAGGTAATATCCACATTTCCAAAACTGATCCATAGATTCAACATAAATACAGCCATAATCCTAGTGGGCTTCCTTAAACACATGGCATCCTAAAACTCATCATGAAATTCATCTGTAAAGGCAAAAATCCAACAATTATCCAAATAATTATCCAAATAATTCTTTAAAAGGATAAAAACTGGAGAACTTCTATTTCCCAATGCCAAAAGTTACCAGAAAACTATATCAGGGAAGCACATAACTGGTATAATGTGCAACATGAAGATGAATGGTATAAGACTTGTGACCTCAGAAATAAACCCATCTATTTGTAGTTAATTAGTTTTTTTTTTTACTAGTCACTTAACTAGTTCAATGGGGTAAGAAGTCTCTTAAGCAGATGGTTCTGGAACAAATGGCTAGTCACATCAAAAGAATAAAGTCACAGTCCTTTACATTACACAAAAAAATCTACTCAAAATGTATTATAGATCTAAATGAAGGAGCCAAAAATATGAGATTTTTCTGAATAAATCTTTATGAGCTTACGTTGCTTAAAATCTTCTTAGATAAGGTGTTACCACTGATAAAGGAAACATTACATCTTTAAAATTCATCAAAATTAAGTGTGCTTTCAAAGTATGGGGGAAAATGCAAATGCAAACCACTTACGATGGAAAATATTTTCCAATTAGGTATCTGACAAAGGACATGTATTGAGAATTATGAAGACATTATGCCATTCACAAATAGGAAGAAAAGAACCAAACCCAAATGTTCTCTAAACAGACATTTCTTCAATGAAGATCTGTAAATGACCAATGCCATCCTCATAGAAGAGTGCCTACATGGTTAGCCATTAGGAAATTCAAAACCCAACACCAAGTATCATTCTATGTCCATTAAGATGACTATTACTGAGAAACAAATCAAAACACAAAAAGGAAATGAAAAAGTGTTGCTGAGAGTGTGAAGAAATTAAAAGCTATGTAACTTGATGTGGAAATGTCAAACCTTGTAGTTGCTGTAGAAAACAGAGATGGTTCCTCAGAAAAGCAGAACATAAAGTATTTGTCTTCAGGCTGTATACACCCTGAAAAGCAGGAACTTGAGCACAAAGTTCATACCACAAGTGTAATACTCCCAAAGTAGAAACAGCCAAACATCCATTCACAAATAAATAGGTAAACAATATGAAGCATATCCACACAATGGAATATTATTCAGACAAAAAAAGCAATGAGGTAATGATATATGCTGTAGCATATTCAATAAAAGGAGTCAGATACAAAAGGCCAATGTGTGATTCCCTATTTTAAATGAAATGAATACAGGTGGCAAATGCACAGTCAGAAAGTAAACTAGTCATTTCCAAGAGTGTAGGATACAGAGGGATTTTTCCCATTTGGTATTATTATTATTATTATTAACTTATTATAAAGGTGATCTACAGAGGAGTTACAGTTGCATAAGTCAAGTAATGAGTACATTTTCTTTTGAACAATGTCGCCTCCCTTTCCCTCACCCTCTCCCAATTGCTCCCTCCTGTACCCACATCCAAGTTACATAGTTCATTTTCAACATTTACATTTTAATCTGAGTTTTAACAAAGCTCAACATTGGTTGCTGTAATAACAGAATAACACTTTTTGGATGTTAGGACCTACTGAATCCTACACTTTGAATTGAGATGGTATGTATTTTATAGTATTTGAAGTTTATCTCAACAAATTGTTTTGGAGAAGCTAGGGCCTAGAACCCTGAGAAGGAAGGGCGCCGCAGGTAGCCCTTCCGGGTTGTGAGACGTGACTGGGCAAGGGAAATACATGAATTCTGAGGTGTGTAAGGAATGGATGTTTCTGGATTGTTGGTGCACTGCTCCTGCAGGAGTATGCAGAAACAACACACACTGATTACAGAACCTGAGATAGGGTACATGTGTGTGCAAGCAGGTGGACAACATGCACATATATGGGAAGCTGAAAAACTCCAACCAATAGAGAGGCCAGAGTAACAGAAGGGGCATAAAACGTAGGTGTGCAGAAAAGGAGTGCTTTGCAGATCTCCTGGCCTTGAGGCTATGGCAGAGAGGAGGGATTTACAGAGAGGAGGCTGTTACAAGGAAGTCACAGAGAATGACAAATGGCAATCCCCATCCTTCACCAGAATCAGTGTGAACTTTCTGTCCACTAATGGCAATCTGTGATGCTGTTACTTCCGTAGTTATGCATCATTCTGGGACAAAGGAGAGCAGGGGTCAAAGGAATGAGAATAGCCCTGATTTAGGAAATACAAATTGAATTGAACATTTGAATTGAATATTTAAATTAGAAACGCTGGAGTTTTACTCAAAAGATATGAATGTACCTGGAAGAAACTAATTTTTAAGATAGAAAGGATCAAATATATAAGTAAATACTTCAGGTGGGTAAGCAAACATACACAAATATACTCATGGAAATACGGTAGATTCAAGGGAGAATTGAAACAGTGAAATTCTTTAGAAAGCCTAACACAAGGAAATAGGTACTTGATAGGGGGGGGGGGGGGGGTCAAGGAGAGGGAGGTAGCCGAATGAAGACAAGAAGGTGATAGAATTCAGTCAAAAATTCAATGCACTTCCTACAAAATTAAGGAGCTGAGGGAAAGGGAAGGATGGGTAAAAATGTTGAAAGGGATAACATCGATCAAGAAAGACACACTGTATTCATAATCTGCTTTGTTGAATGGCAACTCTTTGTAAAGCTAGTTAGAGTTAATCAAACCACATATAATAAAAATAAAAATGACTACGTTATCATAACTATTTTATATTATTTTTTCATTTCTTGCATTTTAGTGGAAAGGTTTGTTGTGAAGCCATTTGGTTCAATGGCTAGAGAAAATAGCAAAAGTTACAATCCCTCCTCAACGAGTGGAAATGAATGACTAGAAGATGTCATCTTCCTGTTGACCCAAGCAGTCACATGCTGGCTGAAAGTTCAGGCTGAAGTAGGCAGAAGTAGTACACAGTTGTGCAAAAGCATGAGGCTGAAAATCAGCATGTCTGAAACAGCTTGGCCAAGCTGCAATCAATGTGACCTTGCTGCTGTCAATGTGATCTTGGGCAGATTTGTGGAGCCCCTCTTGGAATGTATTCTCCCGGCCTTTAAAGGAGTTGAAGCAGATACCTTATAAAGAAAGGTTCTTTCCTGCTCTAAAAGAGCAACTCTTAGCAATTGGATCCTCAGTGGAGAGATACATGCCACATGCTAGCCAAGTAAAATGCATCTCGTCTTTCAAATGATGGAAACTTTTGCTCTCTTTGGCCAGGCCTTTAGAAGCTGAGCTAGATACCACCAGATATAAAATGCAGTTACCTTGCTGGTGCTGTCGGTTCTTGCTTTTGCAGTTACATTTGGTAATCATCTCAGGGGTGCACACATCACGGTGGCAGGCAGAACAGTAAAAGAGGGCTCTGGACAGCGAAAGCAAATAAGCAGTGACTCACCAAGGAGATAAGATGCTGACTCTGATTACCTCCCATTAACCAACATTTGCTTTTGTACTTTCTGCCCCTGTAAAGCAGTAAACAAAAAATTACCTTTTGACTTCTTTCAGAGATTCAGCAATAAAGAACCCTAATGTGTTCTTCAGCAGCTTGACTTGTGCAGGTGGATTTAGTATCAGACCACTGGAAATGGAAAAGGAAGACAGTGATTTCTCCCTCTGCTTTCTGTGGCCCTATTTGGCTTTTCATCCTGTCATTACCAATGGATTCTCTTAAGTCACCAAGTGAATAAGAGTCAATTTCCTTTTACTGCTAATCATAGTGGGACTTGACTCTACTTAACCCATTGTTTGATCACTGCTGGTTGTGCTAAGAAAAGCCAGCTGCCTGATGCATGGATTCACAGTGGTGGAAGCGATATGGCTCCAGATTAAGTCAGGAAGCAGGATGGACCAACCAGCGCGGACACATGATGCCTGATCAGCTTAATCTAGCAATGGCCAACACAACATGAGGACAAAGCAACAGTTTTACCATGCTGCCAGTATTTCTTCTTAGGTCACTCATCTTTAAAACAAATACATCCAATTCACCAGATGGATTCAACTTTCCTTTGTCAGTACTATGATTTTGAACTCAGGGCTTTCTACTTGCTGGGGAGGTGTTTTACCACTTGAGACATGGTCACAGTCATTCATTGCTTTATTTATTTTTATTTCTAGTGCTGGCCTTAGGTACTGAGTTGATCTTCCTACCTATGCCTTCTTGTATTTGGAATGGTGGGATGTATGTGGCTGCATATGCCTGGTGTGTTGGTTAATATGGGGTATCACTAACTTTTTGTTTAGGTTCGCTTCGAATTGTGATCTGCTGGATATTCGCTTCCCAAGTACCCAGGATTACAAGCCTAAACCATTAAGTCTGTCCACATTCCTTTAATTTACATTTGGAACTTTTAATAGCTGTGCGTTCTTTGTACTTGGCTATGTGGGGTGTGTATGTGTATGTGTGTGTGTTTGCACGTGCGTGTGCATACTGGCCCTGGGGCTCGAAGCCAGGGCTTGGGAACTGTCCCTGAGCTTTCTTGCTCAAGGCTTGAATGCTAACACTTGAGACACAACTCCACTTCCAGCTTTGTGCTGGTTAATTGGAGACATGATTCTCAAGGACTTTCCTGCTGGCTTTGAATGCAATCCTTAGAACTCAGCTTCCTCCTTCTCCCTCTCCCTTCCCCTCCCCCTTCTCCTCCTCCTCCTCCTCCTCCACCACCACCACCACCACCACCATCTTCTTTGGTTATGGGGCTTGAACTCTGGGCCTGGGCATTGCCCCTCAGCTCTTCAGCTCAAGGCTAGCGCTCTACCACTTGAGCCACAGTTCCACTTCCAGTTTTCTGGTGGTTTATTGGAAATAAGAGTCTCATGGACTTTCCTGCCCAGGCTGCTTTGAAACCATGATCCTCAGAAACCAGATACTCAGCCTCTTGAGTAGGTGTGAGCCACTGGCACCTGGATTGAACTCAGACTTCTGAGTAGTTATAATTATGGGCATGAGCCACCAGCACCCAGCTCAAAATTATTGAATTTTTAAAAATTTAATCTTTTCGTATAATTCCAAGATTCCTGGAAATGGCAATTTGGGATCTGGTTGAGGTTTTAGGGTAAATGAACATTGTCTTCCTCATTCTACACACGAAGTACAATTCACTAGAGTCACAGGGCTACAAGCCATAGTTAAGATCAAATTTTAGTCTGCTAGCTAAGTGCTAATTAGGTCCCATCTGTAATTCTAGCTATGCAGGAGGCCAAGATTTGAAGGACTGTGGTCAAAGCTAGCCTGGCAAAAAAAAAAAAAACAAAACCATAAAAATGAGAATTAAAAACTTGGACTAAAGACATGATACGAGATAGAATAGCAATACACAAAACACATTTAGTAGTTGCTATCTTTCCTTAATTTCCAGTATCTTTTACTTCCACATCAATACAGCTGATTAGCACCCCCTCTTTTCTCCATCTATATCCACATACATTGTTTTGTCCTGAATCATTTTCTTTCTTTCTTTTTTGTTGTATTGTGGGATGACTACTCCACTTAAGGTTTCACAGAAATGCTAAGGGTCTGGTGATTTTCCCTCTTGTTTAATAGGCCAGTTAAATTCATGTTTTGCAAGATTTTGTGTTTTACCATCTCAAGTTAGCTAATAGTTTTAAAAACATTTTGTGTGTGTAATCATCCTGTGGCTTAAATTCAGGGCCTGGGCTTTGTCCCTGAGCATTTCGCTCAAGGCTAGCTCTCTAAAACTTGAGCTGATACATCTGCACTTCTGGTTTTCTGGTGGTTAGTTGGAGATAAAAGTCTCATGGACTTCCCTGACTGGGCTCGCTACAAACTTCAGTACTCAGATCTCAGCCTTCTGAGCAGCTAGGATTACAGGTGTGTGCCACTGGTGTACAGCTACGAAAACATTTTTTTAATCACAAATAGTTGTGTTGCATTTTATTTTATTGTATTTAATGGCCAATACTTCTGAGACCTTGCAATGTTGATAAGTGGAGTCTCTCCATTCTCAGGAGAGTGAAATGAGTTAGGACCATGGGAACAGAAGTAGAGTTTGCTCACTGTGGAGTTCCCAGTGATTCCAACCTCGTGGTCAGAGACAGTATAGAGAACACTAGTATAGGACCCATGGGCTTAGCTGTGACTGAATCTTTAGAAGGTCCTAATCTATAAGAATCTCCTCAAGGAGGGGGCAACAATGCTTGATAGGAAATGTACTCATTACCTTGCTCATGTAACCGTAACCCCTCTGTACAGTATTTTTGCAATAAAAATGTATTAAAAAAGAATCTCTTCAAAAGAAAGCAAAGTGATAGAAACCCTTATTGGTACCTGTAACTGCTGCGGAACATGGATTGGTACTCGATGGCTATCAGCATGAGGTTCATCTTCACATAGCAGAGTCTAGGAAGAAAGACAAGGACTTGTAAGCAGAGGTAGATGAGCATGGCTAGCTTATGTGATCATAAACAATCCTTAGTGTTCCACATGGAGGAGAAAACCATCTCAGCAGAGGAAGGAAGTCCCCTATACAGATCTCTACTGGTAAAGTGAAGACAACTCTTAGTCAGGGGACCACTGAGACAGAGGTGAGATTGTCCTGTGTGCACTAGACACTGATAGGTTTCAGAGCCTCTGAATGCTTCATTCCCACACACCAGCTTGTGTGACAGACTCCAGCCTACAGTGAGCCTTCATGAGTGCTAGAGTGGGACACTCAAGGGAACTATTTCACTTGACTTACCTGGAAGCCTCAGGAAAACTCATTCCAGCCAAGTCATCTGAGAGTCGCTGAGTCAAAATTTTGTTCTTTAGGCCACTTAAGAAATATTTTTGCCAGGGAAGCTTAGGAGTAACCTGGAATGCACAATCACACTCATGGAGTACATAGCCATGGCATATGGGCTGCTATGATACAAGTTGTATATTCTGCTAAGCAGCAAGGTGCTTGCAGTTAGTCATAGAAAGGAGATTTGTTTTATTGTGAATTGAAGAAAAATTATGGAAGAACTAAAACTCAACTGTTTTCACCAAAGAGTTCAGGATAAGGATGCCTCCTGATTTAGTTTCTCCCCAGATGGTATCAAAGTCTCCTTTGAAATTAAACTTCCTCTCTCTTGTGCACTCCTAACTTCAGGGTACAAGACCATTTTTCCAGTCAGTAATGAGAAGATGGGAGGGATAATGTGGAATCTAAGTTGTCATCTTTTCAATGCATGGAGTCCTGGAGGAGTCCTAGCCTGTGTGTAAGACTCTGCTGGAGTCCTGGAGGAGTCCTAGCCTGTGTGTAAGACTCTGTCCCCTTCTCCCACATGCACCATGAGAACCAATCCCAAACAGACTGCCTTGGGAAGCATGGCAGTCTCTTCAAAAGCCTGGATTACAGGCGAAAGTCTGAAATTTCTGAATTTTCTCAAGCATTGTCTCTGGGATGTGGGATAAGTTATAGGAAAAAGGTGGATTTGTAAAGTGTCCTAGGGACTCATACAATGATTTGAGAATTGCCCTGATTAAAAGAGAAAAAAAGTGTTGAAGAATCTAATAGGGGAGATTCTGGGTAGATATTCAACAGCAAAGACATAGCATATAGTGGTAAGAGTGTAGACTAGAATAATTCTTGTGCTGTCATCAACTTTCTATACAACCCAGTTTGTTAGCTCACCAGCTCACCAACCCACAGTGGAGATAATACCTTCAGTATTGGGAAAATGCAACACCCACTAGGCACTAAATCCATCATCACTGTTGTGTCTATTATATAGACTTAGCCAAAAATAATCTGGAAATCAAATTTCTGATTGGTAAAATTATATGTTTATTATTCTAATTATTATTTTGTATTTTATTTATATTTATAACTATATTTATATGACTTTATATTCATATGTTTATGACTATATTTATAATATGACTTCTCTATTATTTATATAACTTTTGTTTATATTTTTTATGTTCAGTAAGCCAAAATGCTTCCAAATTTAGGAATCTATTTACATTTATAACATTCTGGAGTACAGGTAGGAAGCAGAGTTATAATTTTTATTATATAGGTAAGTACTGCATGAATAAGACAAATGACTTCTTCAAGGCCAGTAAAGTACCTATAATTTAAATCTAAATCCCCTGTAGACTCAAGTGAAAATCAAATCCCATTTCTTGGAGACTTCTTGTTTTCCTCATCTTTCTCTTCCCATTTCTGAGCCTGATATGAAGGATGCTTAATTTGAGTAAGAGCAAAGCATGAACATCAGTTTCCACAGTTACCTTTTTGTTTTGCTCAATAAATAGAGATGTAAGTAAAGTACATAAGCCGGGTACCGAACAACCTTGTGCAATAAATCCAAGCTTTAATTCAGCAAAGCAGATGATGTTGTCTCCAGCAGTCCAGTTCCAGTTGGGAATCTTGGGCAGGAAAACCTGGTTTATGGTAGAAAGCAGATCAAATGCTAAGAATGCACAGGCTTCAAGCAAGTTCTTTTGGATGAACGTCTACTTGGAATCATTACTCTCCATTCTTGAGACTTAAAAGGGAGCCCAGGCCAATAAATTCAGCATTTGAAAATGGCTAATGTTCAGCTGCTTGCAGTTTTTAAAATCAATAGAGCTAGAGTTGTCAAATCAGGTCAGATGGCTTAAACCATGAGGCCTGATCCCAATTTTAACCTTATTAAGTGGACAACTTTATGATACTACAGATTTCACCTATAGTAGCAAATCTTTTTAATCTGTAGACCCATTAACAAATAACCAGGTTCATCTCATGCCTTAGATTTAGATGCAGATGCAGAGAAGGAGACAGGACATGCTGGTATGTTACCATACCTTGTTATGGGAATGAAGAATCTGGATGATGATTCTTGTCTTGGGGTAATAGTTCTTGATAGAGAGCACTCTGTATAAGCCACAAACATACTCATTAATGATATGCTATATTGGATGTGTTATGCAATTAAATTGATGTGCGGATAAGCATGGGAAACATAGTATAGCATTGCTATGTTGCTTTCTAAAAATGTTCTGAGGAGAATATATACTGTAAAGAAGGGCATACATGCCAGAAACCAGTGATTCACGCCTGTAATCATAGCTACTAAGCAGGCTGAGATCTGAGGATCGCAGTTCAAAGCCAGCCTAGGCAGGAAATTCCATGAGACTCTTAACTCCAGTTAACCACTAGAAAAGTGGTGCTGTGGCTCAAGCGGTAGAGCGCTCACCTTGAGCTGAAGAGCTGAGGGACAGAGCCCAAGCCCAGAGTTCAAGCCCCACAACGGACAAATAAATAAATAAATAAATAAGAAGGGCATACATGCAAAGAGCAACAATGTGGTTTCTCCAAAACCACATCTACAGAAAGGTCAGCGTTTGATATTAGAAGACTTTGTTTTTCTGGAACCAGTTCACAAGAAGGAAATAAAACAGTTTCACAAGTCTTAGCCTTCATACCTAAAAGTGATAATCACCAAAAATTAGAGTTTTAATTCCTGTCTATAGCTTGAAACAGCTCATAGAATGTCTAATTCATCTTCTTCATTTTATGAATTAATCAACAAGGATTGATCTCCAATGCACTGTGCTCTGAGTAGTGCCAGTTCGTAATGGTTTCTTGCTACATGTCAAGATTTCAGCTGGGGTCTGGGGATGTGGCTTAGTGGTAGAGTGCTTGCCAAGCAGGCATAAAGCCTTGGGTTTGATTCCTCAGTACCACATACACAGAAAAAGCTGGAAATGGTGCTGTAGCTCAACTAGTAGAGTGCTAGCCTTGAGCAAAAGCAGCTCAGTCAGTATTCAGGCCCTAAGTTCAAGCCTCAGGATTGGCAAAAAATAAAGACATTCAGCTGTACATATTTTTTTGTTCTGGGGAAAGTCGGTTCATCTGAACAAGGCATAATACTATTACCACCACAGTCCTATTTGAATCTGTTATCATAACTTGAGTTCCTTCTCACAGATACTTCCCAGTGAAAACTGGACAACTTGTCAGTTGTCATAAGCACATCTTGTCAAACCAGGCATAATCTTTCACTACTCAAAAAACTCCGTGCTCCGCCCACCCATCAACAAAATTTACTAAGAGCCACAAATGGCATCTTTGCTTTTGAGCCAGAGAAGATCTTAGTTTTAAGGGACTTGTCCAAACAGCAGGTAATTAGCTTGTTAGTATGCTTGCTGTTTTAATTTGTATAGATAGTGTCCAGAGTATCTATAATCTCAAGATGCTCCATTTTTATTTCCTATTGTATCCATATGCGTTGTCTGCAAAATAGGAATATGGACTATGATGTGATAGTCCTATGCTCTGGACTTTTTATTAGTAGCAATAGAAAAAGATCAGTGTTGGAAGATTCAGAACTCATTACAGCTTCTTACCTCATGATATTTGCTGTGTCCTCAGAGTGCGAGTCACTGCACAGAGGGTTGGCTATAATCAGGCATGCTTCCGCAAACTCCACCTACTCTTCAAGATTAAACAGCAGCCATCCAGTTATTACATGGGAAATACGCCAGTGAATCCTATTTGGGATTTTCTTATGATTTCTTCAAAAAATTGCCAACAGGAATGGGAACACACTTGGGAAGATGTTTTTTCTTTCCTTTTTTTTTCCTTCTGCCGGGCTTGGGGCTTGAACTCATGGCCTGGGCATGGGCACTGTCCCTGAACTGCTTTTTGCTCAAGGCTAGCACTCTACCACTTGAGCCACAGCACCACTTCCAGCTTTTTCTGTGTATGTGGTACTGAAGAATTGAACACAGGGCTTCATGCATGCTAGGCAAACACCTACCGCTGAGCCAGCTTCCAAGCCCTGGGAAGATGTTGTAACTAGCATGTCTTTTTTTTTTTTTTTGGGCCCGGTCGTGGGGCCTGAACTCTGGGCCTGGGTGCTGTCCCTCAGCTCTTCAGCTCAAGGCTAGCACTCTACCACTTGAGCCACAGTGCCACTTCCGGCTTTTTTCTTTTTGCTTATGTGGTGCTGAGGAATCGAACCCAGGGCCTCATGCATGCAAGGCAAGCGCTCTACCACTGAGCCACCTTCCCAGCCCACTAGCATGTCTTTATGTCAGGACAATGTCTTAGAAATGCTACCAAGGCACTGAGGATAGCAGGGATGGAACATGACACAGTGCTCCTAGCACAGATCCAACATTGCTTTACAATGGGTAAAGTAAGAAACCTATTTAAGTGGTAAGCTCAAATATACTTCAGATATTCAAAGCATTTTCAGATCTCCTAAAGTGATAATCAGTCACAGAGCACTTAGTAAAATGAACATAGATAGGGATGAACAATGTTTATCATAGAAGATTTGGAGTTTAATTACTACAAAGTTTTTTTTCTGGTCAGATTTTACCCCCCGCCCCCCCCCCCCCCTGCCACACACACACATTAAATGATTTGAAATTGTACATTTTGGAATAGCATTATACTCGATCATCTTCATTGTTATAGCTTAGGAGAATGAAAAAGCAACTAGATCTTACCGCAGCTCTACTCAGGTCCTCCCACTTCAGGGCAGATCCAGAAACAAAAGTCGTATAAGCCAAGTAGCATTTAAATATAGTTTCCAACTCCAAAGAAGGAGGGGTTCTGGATAAAGAACATGATGGTAGAAGAAGGTAAGATGGAAGGAGATGATTTTGTTTGAGAGGTGTTTGTACTGACTTTGAGTGTTTCCTAGAATCCCCCACTTCCTCCCAGAAACATCCATGTTACCTTGTTCATCTACACTGTCAGCACCACCAGCCTCATTACAGGCATGAGCCTGTAGCTCAGGCCAAAACAGCCAGTGATTTAAAAACTTACCAATCAGGAAATGAAATTGAGAAAAAAATACTGAGGATGAAAAAGTTCTCTTTATAGTCAAAATAATTAAATTTCTCAGAAACGCATAGCATATTATTTTTAAAAGAGCCTTATTTTGATGATTCAGGGCTTTGAACTCAGGATCTCATCCTTGTAATTAATAAAATGGCTCCTAAATACATGAATCAAAATGTGAACAAGCCATAGGAAGGAAATAAATCTGTCATTGGAATAAGAGATTTCATGACAGCTCTCGAATATAATGACAGATCAAACAAGGGGGGAATCAAGTATATTAAACACATGTAGAAAAATATATTTTTCAAGAGCACAATTGTCTTGTGCTTTTAAAACACAAAGCATTCCTTTAACAATTTGATCAAGTTGGTAATTTTCTTACACAATAAAGAACCCCTTGTTACATTGCCAATAAATGGTTACTATACATATTATTTTTTCTGGATATTTAGGACAAAAACCCAGCTCAGGAACTCCCCCCAGACTAGGCGTAGTCACCTGTCGCAATGTACATTAAAGAGATGGTTAAGGATAAAAGGAATAAAAAGGAAGTTTAATTAACTTGGCCACAAGAAGGACACATAATGAGACCAGTGACCCCATCTATGTTCCAGGTATTGATATAAGCCTTTCCTTTAAACAGAAGAAGAATGAAGGCAAAGACAATGGTTATATACTCTTAAGTGACCTTGATCAGAGAGTGGTCTGGTCGATCATTAAGTCAGTTCTCATTCTGCTAGATGGTAAGTAGAAGTCATTGCTTGAGGGAACATTCTAGTTTTTGTGACATGATTGTTTCTGTTCCAAGGTGCAGTCTCATTATCAAAGGTACTTGTACTCTTTGGGGGGAGCAATCTTTCCTTGGCCCCACTTGTTGCTTTAAGGTAGCTTAGGTCCCTTATTATAAAGATGTTTATCAATCAGTTCTGTTTCCAGAATCCTAGGTGACTGAATAAGAGAATGGCTCAGAGCAAGGAAGGCAGAGCTAAAATGAAGGGAGAAATGCTTTTACCCTACTTTTAGTTAACTGGTAAGGTGATGTTAAGTGTCAGTACTTTTTAGTCAAATGAGTTTCCAAACACCATTACATTATGATATCTCACCACAATACTCAAATAGAAGTTCTAAGCCAAAAGACAAATAAAATATATTCTTTATAACTAGAAAAACATTCTTTTGTGTTCTTGTCCTGGAGCTTGATTTTTAGGATTTGGGCACTCTCCCTGATATTTTTAGTGCTTTGCCATTTGAGCCAAACCTCTACTTTCAGGTTTTTGATGGTTAATTGGAGCCTCGTGGATTTTCCAGTCCAGGCTGGCTCTGAAACATGGTCCTCAGATATCAGCTTTCTGAGGAGCTAGGATTATAAGTGTGAGCTACCAGCACCTAGTCATATTTAGAAATGTTAAAACAGAGACTGCTAACTGGGTGCTGGTGACTCATGCTTACAAATCTAGCTACTCAGGAGACTGAGATCTGAGGATCTCAGTTCAAAGCCAGCCTAGGCAAGAAAATCTCCGAGATTCTTATCTCCAACAAACTATTCAGAAAAATCCAGAAATGACATGTGACTCAAGTGATAGAGTGCTATCCTTGAGCAAAAGTACCTCAGGGACAGTACTCAGGCCTTGTGTTCAAGCCCTGGGATTGGCTCTCTCTCTCACACACACACACACACACACACACACACACACACACACACACACACACACACACACACACACATATATACACACACATTCAACACACACATACACCACAAATAGACTGCAAAAATCATATGATCTGAAGGAATTATAATTATATATATAATACACAAATAGACTGGTGAAACTCATGGTTTGAAGGAATTATATATACATATATATATAATTTTAAATATATAGCATATATATATAATATCTTATGTATAAGATGCACACACATTTGGACCCAGCAATAACAGTGCTTCAGGGAAAATGTATAGCTTTGCAAGTTAGTATTAGAATAAACTAAAAGAATATTAACAACCTCAAAAGTTCATTCTTTTATGCAAAACTAGTAAAACCTAAAGGAGAAAGAAACAAAAACAGATGAAGAAGATATCTATTGACAAAGTAAGCACAATAATAACAATATTATATATATATAAGTATTCATATTTACTTTGAAAACACTAATAATACTACAGAAAAATTAGAGAAAATTTTTTTGCTGATTAGCATGCTAAAGTCAAGTATATATACATATATATGTATATATTTTTTTGGGGGGGGGGTCCGGTCGTGGGGCCTGAACTCTGGGCCTGGGCGCTGTCCCTCAGCTCTTCAGCTCAAGGCTAGCACTCTACCATTGAGCCACAGTGCCACTTCCGGCTTTTTTCTTTTTGCTTATGTGGTGCTGAGGAATTGAACCCAGGGCCTCAGGCATGCAAAGCAAGCGCTCTACCACTGAGCCACCTTCCCAGCCCCATCAAGTATATTTTTTTTGAATGAAAAATAAGCAACTAAAACATTATAAGACAACAACATTTTCAATACTATGAAGAAACACAAAATACTGAGAAACATTCTTCCTGAGAAAGGATATAATATCAAAAGCAAATAAATAATACTTAAATAAATGGATACCCATAATAAGACTTAAGGAAGGATTTAAGGTAGAGAACTCATTTCTGAATTTAACGTTTCAGTTTGATTACCAGCAAATTTGAACAGTGCCTTTATAGCACAGGATAAAAGCACTGTAAAATTTATATGAAAGATAAAAGGCCAAGAAAAGCTTATGAACTACTAAAAAAGTACAAAAATAAAAAAGAGGGAAGGCATACTTTAGCATTTTATGACTAAGATTTTCATAGTTAGATATGTACAGCTTCGCAAGATCTATCTTGCAAAGATACAACTCTCTTACACAGCTGTACATATCTAACTGTGACAATCTTAGTCATAACAAGTTTAATATTTTAGATATGAGACCTTTGTCCATTGTATGGCTAGTGAAGGTCTTCTCCCAATGTAGGCTTTCTATTGATCTTGCTAGCTATGTCCTTTGCCATGCAGAAGCTCTGCAGCTTCATGCAATCCCATTTGTCCAACTTTTCTTTGATTTGTTGTGTTTCTCTGTCTCTATTAAGAAAATTTCTGCCTGTGCTAAGGAGACCTAGGGTTTCTCCTATTCCTTTCTGTAATGTTTCAGGGTGTCTGCTTTGACTTCAAGGTCTTTGATCCATTTGGAGTTGATTCTGGTTCAGGGTGACAAATAAGGATTTAGCTTTAGTTTTTTGCCAGCACCATTTACTGAAGAGGCTGTCTTTCTTCCATTCTATTTTTTAAGCTTCCATTCTATTTTTAAGCTATAGGTCTGGAAAAAAATTATATTCAATGAAGTAAGCCAGGCCCCAAGAAACATAGGTCCCATGGCTTCCCTTATTTGCAATAACTAGTACATGTGTAGGACAAGTAGAAAAGGTCAAAGGCTATGTATATATGACCACATAAGTTGATGTTAAGCGAAATGAACCCCAAGATAGGGACACAAATACTTTCTTTTCTTTCTTGCTATTGTTTCTAATGTATTATATAATGTACCATGTGATTTTTTTGTTTCTTTGTATGTTCTTCTCCCAAGGTATAAACCCCTGTTTTTTCACTGTATTTGATGTCGGTGCCCTGCATTTAAAAAAAATTATTATTGTGAAAATACCATACAGAGGGGTTACAATTACATGAGCAAGGTAATGAATACATTTCTTATCAACCATTGTTGCCTCCTCCTTTGTTTCCCCTTCCCATCCCCTCCCATCTCCCCGCCCCGAGCCAAAGTTGTAAAGTTCATTTTTCCACATAACATCTTGTACATCTCATTGTTGCAATGAGTCCATCTGTACCCCTATTTAAATTATTTGTTTATTCCCCTTCCTCTCTCCAAATTATACCAACATCAAATACAGGGAAAAAAGGGGTTATATCGTGGGGGAGGGACATACAAAGCAACAAAGAAATAATCTTATAAATATGTTAGAAACAATAGCAAGAAAGAAAAACAATTTGAGACCTTATCTTGGGGTTCATTTCGCCTAACATCAACTTACTTGACCATTTCTGCTTGTCTCAAACATATACTAGTTATTGCAAATAATGTATGCACTTCTCTAATTCTGGGAGGGGAAGGGAAAGAACAAAATGCTTAAGTAGGGATACAGGTTCACCCATTGTAACAATGAGATGTACAAGACACTATGTCGAAAGGAGGAGGCAGCAATGCTTGATAAGAAATGTACTCATTACCTTGCTCATGTAACTGTAACCTCACTGTATAGTATTTTTTACAACAAGACATACAAAAAGTTTAGTATTAATACAACTATAAGTAATAATAACTATTCATAGTGGTAGTGTTAGATCATTGAGCAGAAGAAGGGTATATTCAATAACTGGTCTTGGAAAAATAAAAATAGTTGAAATTTTATGCTTGAATCTTACCATATAAGAAACAAGTTCCAGACTGGTTGTAGTGACCCATATAATCCCAGCTATTTGGGAATCAGAGATCTGGAGGATATAGATTTAAGATAAGTTGAAGATGTAGCCTAGTAGTTGAGCATAGGTTCATAGCAAGACATAACCATTTGTTGTCTACAAGAAATGCATACCACTGACATAAAAGAATGGAAAACATTTATAAACAGATGCATCCCCAAAGCAAGCAGGAGTACCTATCTTCATACCTAATGACTTAAACCAAAGTTAATCAGAAGAGACAGGAGAATTCACTTCATAGTAACA